TTACCTGTGTCTGTATCCAATGCCTTGCTGCTTCACAGGGGTGGTAGGGAGGCCTAATTAAAGTGTGTAAATCCCTCCTAAGATCAAAGGCGCTGCAGAGGCCAGAGCACATTTCATAAAAATCACTTGTGGTTGCATCTTGGAGCTGGCTCACCTTTGATGTGAGCCAAACTGACACCCTGACTGAGGTCTCTAGGTCCTGCCCTGGAGAGGCCAGGCTTTGCCTTTGAAATACACCTTGCCCCTGGCATTCAGCCAGCCAGAGCTGGGGGAGTGGCCATGGGGTGTCTTCCATTTGGGGGAGTGGAGGAGGGGAATGAGGAGCCAATCTCTAGAAAATAGTGGGGCAAGAATCATAATTTAGAAAGTACAGGCTTGCGCCATATAACAAGGAACTCCTTTTCCTGCCTCCCCCATTGTTTTCCATTTGATTAAGCGTATCCTGTAAAACTGTATAATCCTGGTAGGAATTATCCTCTACCCTGAAGAAAGGAGGTTGTATATAGCCTTCTCTTTCCCCCTGCCAACCATGCCTCCATGCTCCCTCCCGTTTAGAAGAGGTTTTTCTTCATTTTTTAAATGCACACTGGGCAAGTACTATATACCCAAAGTGCCCCACCTCCATTTCCTTCCCACTGGAGGGTTTTCAATAGTTGATCTTCCAGTCTTGAGAAGAGAACGCCTCAGAGGGAGGGATCCTCAGCAGAAACTTCTGGGGACTGTGTTGGACAGGCTTGGCAGTCACCTTCCTTTTGTCAGGAGCAAGAGGCAAACTATTTTACCACTGAGGGGCTGTCCGGGCTACTTGCCTCTAGGTTTCTCTTTAGCTTGGAGGAACTGTCTGCCAGTGTGGCCAAAGGAGCATCTGTTTGTGCCTGGTAGCCTGGGGTTGGAGAACTGGAGTCTGTACAAACCAGTGGTGTGTTTGCTTTCCTAGAGCCAAACTTTCTATGGGGACTTGGGAAGAAATTTGACGTTGGTAATGGTGCAGAAGAGGTTTCCAGGGGCCTGTGCATTTGTGTGCACTTGTGTTCCTAGGAACTAATTAGTTGTGATATCTGGGCATTGTTTTTTGTTGCAATTGCTTGGAGGGTCTGTCTGTCTCTCAACTGGGACTGTCATTCCACTGAGGTCACCGTGCTGAACTCCTGGGAGTGAGGGGAGAGGCAGAGGATACATAATCTGTAGTTTAAGGTCTAGTAAAGACAATGGAAGGGAATGGTGCCAGGAAGATTTTGTAGGAACTGAGGCAGGCAGCCTTGTGAGAATGGGGCTGGCTGGGCAGGTTTCCAGAGGTGGGTTTGGACAAGTGTGGAATCAGGTAGAACATTTCTCTCCAGCTGTGTCCATGATAAAACTGATCAAAATAAGTGAGTCTACTAAATTCCTGTAGTTTTTATATCTCAATTAAAAGGGAAAATGTTTTTTTTTTGAAGGCCACGGTGAGACCCTTGCCTATGGGAGTGGGAGGAAGGAGGCTTTGTGCCTGATGGGAGAAGAGAGAATAGGGTTAAGAAAGTACACTTCGAACCTTCCTTGACCTTGGGAATTACCTGATCTCAATGGGAGACTTGTAATAGAAGAGAAATTCCAGCCAGTCTGTGATTGAGCCTGACTTGACTAATGATTAACTGGCCTCCTGGAGCCCAGACGGGTGACAAGGTGCTGTGGTCTGTCTTAGGCTGGACCGTGAAGCTGAGTAGACCATTAATAATCTGCATCCGTGGCTGTGACTCAGCCCTTTGGAATGTGTGGTCTTTCTTTCATGCTGTTCAGGGTTTTGTAAGAATGAACACTTTTTTTTTTAATAATAATTTATATTTATGTGCATTGGTGTTTTGCTTGCATGTATGTCTGTGTGACGGTGTCAGATCTTCGGGTTATAGACAGTTGTGGGCTACCATGTGGTGCTGGGAATTGAACCTTGGTCCTCTGAAAGAGCAGTTATTGCTCTTAACAGCTGAGCCATCTCTACAGCCCTTGACTCTGGTGTTTTTATTTGCATATTTACTTCTCTCTCTCTTTGACTCTGCAGCAGCCTGTCCAGATGCTGTGCCTTCCTCCGTGGAAACCGGGGGAACGAATTATCTGGCCCCTGGGGGGCTTTCAGGTAAGACACTTTCTCCTTTCCTAGAAATTGCTGGAGGCTAAAGGAATAGGGATGGCCTTCTGCCACCCCAGCTGGTCTGGAATTGTTCTCATTGTCATATGCCTTAAACTAGATGATCTGGGGTGCTGGTAGTGCCCTTCATCTTGTCATCTTGTGGGCAGAACCTTGCCTTTCCCAGGAATGGGGAACCTGGAGTCAGTTGGAAGCTGATGGTGTGGGAGACAAGCTTCGTGGTCATTTTTTTATTTTTGCTAAATTTTATGTGTATGTTCATTACTCACAAGTGTTTGGAGGGCTAATTTATAGGAGTTGTTTCTCTCCTTCCGCCCTGTGGGCTCCAAGGATTTGAGTGCAGGTCATCAGGCGTGGTGGGTGCTTTATCCTGGGAGCCATCTTGCCACCCCTCATGATCTTTTAAGCAGCTCCCGACCTAGGTTACTTCCATTTGTAAACTTTGGCAAGATCTCATGTGCTTAACCCCTTATTTGGCTCTTGCACGCATTCCTTGAAGGAGACAGACCCATGTTTACGGGGCAAAGCCCAGGTGCAAGCCAGATCTCAGTGGACTGAGGTTCTGTGGCAGCAGGGCAGGGGCTTGCCATAGTCAGTAGGACAGGCTTTCTTCGAGGCTCACAGACCAAAGACCTGGAGCTAAGAGTCCTAGGATTGGAGGTGGTACACTGGGGAGAGAGCCTGTGTACATTATTGTCTGTCTCTTAGGACAAGAGACACTCTGGGAGACTGCTCTTTCTTTTCTAAGGACGTTTTTCTTCATTTCCTCTTACCCTACCACGTCATCATTTATTTTCTAAGAATTAGCTAAAGAAAGAGGGAAAGTAACCTGGGTTAGGGGAAATTCCAGGACAGTTCTGGGCACTCGGTATAGCTGGCGCTGGCGGAGGTCTTGGTGTAGCACCCCTTAGTGGAAGCTGTGGGACTTGTGCACCCTCTGTTGTGGGATGCATGCTTATGACTGACAGTTAAAGAGTTGCCCCCATGTGTGGTTTGAGGTACAGTCCATTCTGGACCCACATCCCAGACTTTCCCCTCCAGGAATTGAGCCTGCTGGGAAATGGCTGTAGGGGGACCCTTGTTTGTTTTGATTTCAGTGCAGTGTGTACTCTGACTGTTATCTGAGACTGAGGGTATTGTTTACTCAAAGCTTCTAATGAGAACTGAACAGGAAAAGAAGGACCCCAGGGGGAGGAGGGAGGTGGGCCCCATCGGCTAAGAGGGAGCCAGTATGGCCTTCACAGTCTGTGCGTCTTCTGCTTTCTAATGCTGAAATGAAGTGAGAGCCCTTGAAAGGAAGGACCAGGAGAGAATCTGAGCAAAATAATCACACATTCAGGATGTTGTTAGCTTAAGTCCTGGGTGTGCAGGGAGGAGCCCTGGCTTCTCCAAACCACATGAAATAAGCAAGGGAAGTGGTAGCTTTTGAAAGGGGCTCTTCGGAAGGCTTGTCTTATTGATAACATCTTGTCTGTCTCCTCTACTGGAGGAAATGAAGACACCAGGCTGAGAACCACCGGCCTGAGAGCCACTCACCCTTTCCCAGGAGCCAAACAGCATGACCTGGTCAGCCGACTCCGCTTCCCCAAAGTTCGGCCAGTTCTAGAATGAAGCTGGGAAGCAACATTCTAGTGCCCACCCAGCCACTCTGTAATCTCAGCCCCTTAGATGGATGAGGCTCTGCTAGGATGCAGGAGTATGTCTTGCAAGGGATGGCATGGTGTAACAAAACTGCAAACGGGGAGGGGGGACCCTCCACATGAAAGAGCATTTGTTTTGAATTTTAGCTCTTGTTTTACTAATTCCCAAAGCTTCGAAGCTGGAGCCCTTTCTTCTTTCTGTATGTAGTTGGAGCCATGTATTAATAATGTGCTTGGGTGGAGGTTGTAGGAAGAACTTCTGGGGTTGATGCCAATGGTTTGGAGGTATGTAGAGGAGAGGTGATGGGCACAGAGAGAAACTTACTGTACTCTTTGTCCTGTGACTGCCCCTGGAAGGCGGATTCATGAGCCTAGGCAGAGGGTTTTATACATTCTGGAAGCCCAGGCCAAGTCTTTTTAACAGAGGTGGTGCTGGGTGTGTGTGTGTAGGGGAGTAGATGTGTCTGTTTTATGTAGATTGGAGTCTTGAGGGGCAGGGTTGGTTGAATGACCCCCGGAGGAGATGGGAATGGGCTCCTGTAGTTGACACTGGCGTGAGGTAGGTCCGGGGCAGGATGGGTATCAGTCAAGGTGGGGGGCGGTGACACCCCCCTGAAATAACCTCTGGGAGTCTCTTTCACAGGCCCTGTGTGCTGCTTTCCTTCCTGTCCTGCCCTGGCTAAGAGCAGGCTTAATGAATGGGGCTCAGTTCAGGGTGGGAGGAAGGGTCGGCTGTGTGAGCCAGGGCTTGATTCTCTTGGCAAGGGAAGAAGGGAAAGAGAAAACAGCCGAATGTGAAAATGTGGTGCCTTGGAGATGGGGGTGGGGCATGCTCAAAGGCCCAACCCCTCCTGAAAGGCAAGGGTGACTCCAAGGCTGGCCATTCCTTTTCCTGTACTCTTTGCAGAGGGCCAGCTAGAGGAAGGGGAGTGGGCGGGGGCCAGTCCTGGGAGTAGCACCCTGGCTTCAGGTTGGAATCCCAGCCTTCCAGTGTGGTTCTGGTGGGGGGAGAACAGGGGGATGACAGGCCAGGTCCTTGGGGACCTGCACTGAAACACACCCCACCCTTACAAGTTTCCTCAGTCTGGGAAAATGGGACATTTTTAGAAGGCAGTAATTTAGTTCCAGGAGATTGCACTTTCATTTCTGACAGCCGGCTTTTCTGAGACAGATGGATTGCTCGGTGCAAGCTTGTGAGTGTGTGTGCTCACACTCGGCAGACAGACAGACAAGCTCCTGTGTTGACACTTGAGCATAGATATGCCATGCCAACAGGCAGGGTCTGAGAGAATCTGGGGCCTGCTCTCATCAAGTGGCTCATTCCTACATGAAGTTGAGTAGTATGTGGGGATTGGTATTTGGAATGGTTCAGAACTGCAGTTTTGGTAGCCTGAATTTAGCCTTGTCTCTGGGCACTGATGTCTTTTGGAAGGCATGCAAATCCAGGTCAGGCCCTTGCTACTGCTGCTTTGACTGCAATGAGTCAGGGAGACCCACCTTGGCAAGAACTGACATAGCTGGGAAACTTCTATAGAGCTCAGTAGAAGAGACTGCAAGGGCTCTCTACTTACTTTTCTCGGGGAAGAACTGCTCTTGGGTTAGTGTCTTTGCAACCTCTATCTGGAGTCTGGTGGAGTGGCTGCACGTGGCCTATGCCCAGTCTTAATGACAGAAAAAGCAGTATTTCTAGCTGCAGGCCCTTACTTCAGAGATAGTAGTGTTTGGGCCTCTGGAACTCCCTCAGAGAGCAGTGTTGGAGGCCTGGAGCCATTTGCAGCTACTTACACTTGGAAAGAGGAATTCCCATGGACTGGGGTGGAGGTGGGGCTGAGGGGTAGGCATTAGAGACTTGAAGCATGCAATTCTTTGAGAATTGAAGAAACTGCATAGATATCTCCTGTCCATGCAGTCATGTTTATGTGGAAGGGCTAGGGGGCTAGTTCCTTGGCTTAAGGTCTTAGATAGCTTTTGGTTTCCAATTTTGGGGTGGAAGTGTTTCAAGTCAGTACCAAATCAACCACAAGGACAAGTCTGTCTCCTCCTTGATCCCTGCTGGCATCTGCCTTGGTATCTGAGGAGAACCTTTAAAAACACCTATATAATCTGAAATGCTGCCCTGGCTCTCAGACTTGGGCTCAAACCAAGTTCAGGGACTATTGCTACATTCTGGCTTAAGAAAAGCCATTCATTCAGCTGAATGTGAACAAGTTTTTATCATCTGGTATGACATTGTGATACTGAACTAGGAGCCTTGGACCTTTGGAGCCTGCTGTGTTCCCAGTGTCCCTTCCTCCTGCCTGATTTGGCTGTGGTTTCAAATACCCTTGGAGGTGAAGGTGGAATACATACTGATGAGCTCACAGCTGGACTTATGGGGAATTGGGCTAGCACAGTGACCAGCAGTGACCACCTGTTCCCTCCAGGCCACTGTGGGAAATGACAATCTGGAACTCCAAGAATACAAGTCTAGTCTCTTTAAACCAAGTCAGTCTGCTGGCTCCAGGCTAGGGCGGCACACCTGATGCACGCCCACACCCTGGTGTAGACCAGTCCTAGGCAGCACTGGGGCTGTTGGCGGGCCTCTTCTGTAGGGCCTGAGGTCATGGGCCCCGCCCCTGGTGAACAGTCCCCGATAAACCTCTTTTGTCCTGGAAAGAATGAGGTAGTCAGGCAGGGGTTAAATGCAGGGTGACAGCATTTAAAAATCTCTGGAGCAAATTTGGGCTGCTCTGCCAGC